CCCCCCCCTTCCCTTCCCCATCCTGTTTGTTTCCTCGGCAACAGGAGCAGCTCCTCTTGTCGGTGTTGCCACGCTACATCGCCATGGAGCTGAAAACGGAGGTGATAAAGCGACTGTCCAAGCCGGAGAGCGATAAGGAGAACGAATCCAACTTCCACAACTTCCACAGCCTCTACATACGGCAGCACAAAGACGTCAGGTGACGATCGCTGTCGAACATTTCACCTTTCAGAGATTCTTTAACTACACACTCTTATTTTAGATCCACGTTTCTATTGTTGTATAAACTTTATCGTAGATAGTTTTCTGTTTAAGTATAATGCACATATAAAATATCAGTATCTCTGGTGCAGATAAATTGAATCAATTTGTAAAATGTATTTTCTGTGTAATTTAAAACTGTTGTGTGTGTGTGTGTGTAATGTGTTGGTCTCTGTTGGTGCAGTATCCTGTATGCGGACATCGTTGGCTTCACAAAGCTGGCGAGCAGCTGCTCTCCAGAGGAACTGGTCGCTGTGCTCAACAAGCTCTTTGGCAGATTTGACGACATAGCCAAGGTGAGAATAATCTCGACAGTGAAACCTTCCTCAACATTTCCTCACAGAGAAAAAGTTCTGAGTTCGTCCTTCCCGCTCGCTTCTCTCCGTCTCTAGAAGAACGGATGTCTTCGCATTAAGATCCTGGGCGACTGCTACTATTGTGTGTCCGGTCTCCCCGACCCGATCCCCACTCATGCCAGGAACTGTGTTCAGATGGGACTGGACATGTGCACGGCCATCAGGTCAGTTCACCTCACACTGCGGTCGTCACGGTGCATTTTCAACAACCTCGTGTTTTCATTTAAAAACCCTCACGTACTCCGGTTGGTTTGTGTCTCTGCAGTAAACTGCGTGAGGCGACAGGTGTTGAGATCAGCATGCGTGTGGGCGTTCACACCGGCTACGTGCTCTGCGGCGTGATCGGCCTGCAGAAGTGGCAGTACGACGTGTGGTCACATGACGTAACGTTGGCCAACCACATGGAGTCTGGAGGTCTGCCTGGGTGAGTCTTCAGATCTGATGAGTTGAAGTGTTTTAAAATAATAAAGTAAGATTAAATCAAGGCAATGATTGTCTCTCTTTAATGATAATAAATCTAATTATTCTCATTAACAGACGAGTTCACATCACAGAGGAGACGCTGCAGCACTTGAATGGAGCGTACCAAGTGGAGGTTGGGAACGGGGCGAGTCGAGATCCTCTCCTGGATGGAAGAAAAACCTTCCTGGTGATCGACCCTCGTAAACCGGACGTTTACTCCAGGAGGCCAAAACCGGTGAGTGAACACGTTCGTGTGGTAGAGTGGAAAGAAAAGTGTTTTTTTCATGTGTCTCATCTTTGCTCACCTGAAAAAATACAAACACCTCGAGGGCACGTCTAGATAATGGCGCTCGTGAACCCTGCTGCTGACCTTTACTCTGAGGGAGGAGCCACAAAAAAGTCAAACCATCACTTTGTTCCCTTTCAGGCGAACACTCAGGCGGAGCCCCGGCAGCGGGCGTCGGTGCGGATGTCTCTGTATCTCCAGTCGTGGAGGACGATCCACCCGTTCGCTGACCTCAGCCACCCTGGGGCCACGCCCTCCAAGAAGAGCACCGCCCACGTTGTCACGAGCCAATCACAGCTCACCGCCGTACGTGTTTCTCCCACATTTTAATTGCGTTGTTGTGTAACTCGTTTCTTTTCCAGGAACAAATAATCTTTATAATGTTCCTTCAGTAAATGTTACTGTGTGTGTGTGTATGTGTGTGTGTGTGCGCTTCAGGAAAGACCTCCCTGCCAGAGCAACCTCCCCGGGTACGTTCACACACACATTTAAATCATGAGGTTATAATAGAAAAGCTTAATTAATTTAAATAAAAACACAACATCCAGCACTTGCACTATTTATTTATCCTGAATTTGTGTCTCCCGTGTTGTTGTTGTGTCTCCCGTGTT